TTTCAATTCAAATATGACTAATAGATATTTTCAAAAGGTCAATATTTCATGTCCAAAAGCGATACTTCTCTTTACATTACTAATCCTATCATGTTAAGTCACGGACCTATTTGATATGCACATAAATTATAATCAAAGAAATTGTATAGGTGAACGAAATAACATGGGTCGATAAAACTTCGTTCATACATCAACATAGACGATGAGCCCTGACATGTAGCCTACCTCACGTTCTTTGGAGCTTGCAGATAGTAAAATAGTTTTTATTGATAAGATATAAGGATGGAAATCGCTTGAATCAATCCAATGGCAATATTTAAATCACGCAAATAGTGACGTCATTATTAAGTTAATGGTATTGCAGTAGTAAACAAGGTTCAATATAAATAGTTTTCATTTGATAGTAAATCATATAACATAGTTTGATTAGTTAGTAAGCGTCAATAGCCTAATGGTTAAGGATACGGATTTCTGATCACGAGGTCGGGGGTTCGAATCCCGACATTCAACTATTGTCGTGAACCATATCCTAGCACAAGCCTAGAGCTTAGTTGGAATGGTAAAAGAAATATTAGTAAATTTACAAAAAAAATCTTCTAATATTAAAAAAAAAAACATTTCCTATACAATAAAGTGTTGAGTACTTTGTATGGAACATATGAAACTGTCACAGAGGTAGAATCCAGAGCAGATATCGCGCAGAAATAAGCCGGGCTTCAGGCAAATAGATTTTACGTAATACATTGCGGGACTACAACGTTGCGAAGTAGGTCAGTAACAAAGCCGGCGGGATGGGTCGCAGCTTCATTATGCGCCACTGGTACATAACACTACAACACTGATTGAATTACTTTTGATATGGTCATGTAAAGGTTCACCAAGGAATCCCAATGACTTTCAGTATCTTCATCTTAGTACCTATTTCCACTAGCGGTTAGTCGCACAATTTAGGCAGCGTGCGCGTGTCATCTCACTAACTTTCTAATATGATAAATACGAATGTTTTGATAGATGGATGTTTGTAAAAAGATATTTTCAGAATGTCTCATGACATATATGTAGAACATAGTCTGGAAGAACATATAGGCTACTAATTAGTTTTTTTTTTATTTCACGCGGACGAAGTCGTGGACGGCTAGTATATCATATAGCAGCGGCGCTTGCGCCAGAAGAAATAACAAACAGAGGACAGGAGACAAGGAAACTGGATATTTTCCTTCTACTTTTCTACGAAAATGATAACAAGACCACTGCAACGTTTGCTTTGTTTCCTTCATTATTTTATATTACGTATTGTATAATATTACTACATATGCCTTAAGACAAATGGACGATCACATCATGCAGACTAACCAACAATCAACAGAATTAGTATAGCTTTGATTAGACAAATGTCAAATTAGACAAATAAAATAAGCAAGATATCTTAACCCATTAGTGCATAAAGTTTATTAACGCCTTTTTCATTATGATCACTGTAATATATTTTCATTTCGAGTGTATTTGACCATTAAATTGTATAAAATATTTAATCAATATGAAAATTTAGATTTTATAGCCCGTCCGATAAATCGGACGTTATGCTTCCCGGAATGTCATACCAACAGTATTACCACTTCAAATATATATTACACTACTGTTTAAAAAAATAAACGGTTAGTAAAACATATATAACTCCTAAAATAACAATTTTATTGGCGTCCGATTTATCGAACGTTATGCACTAATGGGTTAAGAGAGCTCTATAGTACGGATGTTTTAATCGTCATAGTAATTATTGTGATAAATCGACATAGATATGAGAAGTTTTTGTTTTTAATTTGAAGGTCAACAACTACACTATTCTTGTAAATAAAAAGATTTTGAATGAAATAACGGCACATGTATTTTACAAAACGCACTCAAGCATTTCGAAGGCCTCCTATAGAGATGTAGAATGAATAAATTTTCCAGGTTTTATTGCGTGAAGCTTTTCAAATTCAAGTACCAACGATATACAAATACATAGATGTATGTAAATACGTAAGTTTTTTCAACGTGAAAAGCTTTCGTCACTTACTGGCTTTTGTTACATTTACTATGGGTGTCTTACTTCACTATATCCATACAAAAAATAAATAACTAATAGTATCGAAAAGAAGACTTAGCTACGTAAAAGATCCAAAGCTTATGGAAAATTCTCGTGTCACAATGTTAGTTACCATACTACTCCGAAAAGACATGATGGTGAAGTTCTAAGAATCGGCTATTTTTGAATCCCACACGGCCGAAGTCGCGGGCGACAGCTGGTAGTAAGATATGTTTGAGACAACATTTGACAGCAGTTAACGAAATAATCATCACCCTATAACTCTAACAGTGAAATTCTACTGACGAACTGTAATCAACATATTGCTAACTCTTTTTTTTTCAGATCGATCGAGAGAGATGACAATACGTTTCTATAAAAGTAAATCCACAGTGGAACTATACTGTGGAGCGAATCAAACGCATTAAAGTTCAATCTAATTCGAATTCAAAATGAGACCGCAGCCTGCGCGGCTCTGAGCGGTTGCAGTTTGCGGTTCTCATGTATTGCAACGTGGTATGACCCTCGTACTAATCTTATATACGCTAGTCTGAACTGTATTTGTATATGATTAGAGTTGAAATTACAACAAAGATGCTGTCATGTGTCTCTAATATGATGATGATATGGATTGCACTCTAAGGTATTATAGTATTCAGGCAAAATTAAGAAAATTTCTACAAAGTTTCAAATTATATTTAGAAGATATTCATTTATGTAACAACAAATATATTTACTATGAACATATAACCGTGCGTTTCCATTGCTATTGACAAAAACATTGTGAACTCAATATCATATTTTTAATTATTTCTTCTCATAGTCCTTATTTATTTTATTATATACTTGCTGTCACCCACGATTCCGAATGCGCGAAATATAAAAAACTTAATCATTAGCCTATGTGTTCTTCCAGGCTATGTACATATATGCCAAATTAAAAAAAAAAATCATCCATCCATCTAAACATCCGCATTTATAATATTAGTAAGATGTATAAAAGAGCGCACTTTCTTACTAACCTAATTTAAAGGATTTTCTTTAGTTAACCTTGTAACACGTAATAATTGAAAATCCAAACGTATATTTTAATGCATTTAACTTATATTTAATTATGTTAAACCTGCAAGTAATATATTCAAAGAGCTTAGTATAAATTCTACGTGTTGAAAGAACGTTATCTGCATATTAAAATTTCACGTCTATCTCCGTAGCTGTATCATTCTCACGTAGATCATATTTATAAAGAGGGATAAAAGTTTGATAAAGGTTTTTGAGTTGAATAAATTTTTATTCATACTAAAGTACTTAATTATCACGTTACTTTTTATTTAAAACTAGCTGTAGCTAGCCTGTCCGCGCTGAATTAAACGAAACCTTAATCAGTAGCCTGTGTATTCCAGACTTTGTTTTATATCGATGCCAACTTTCATCGAGATCCGTTGACTCGTTCTGGAGGTACATTCAAACAAACTTCTATCCATTGTAACATTCGCATTTATAGTATTAGTAAGATTATAATAATATTTATTTTATACCGTATATAAAAGTAGAGTCATCTTTTATTGCATTTTATTTGCTTTCATTAAGCTTTTAAAATATCTCATTAAAATATTTGCATTTCTCACTGGCTAACTCAGAAATACAGTGGATTATTAAACTTGACTGTAAAAAGTTCTTAAATTTTTTAATCGAGTAATATTAAATCGATTAAACGTCTATCGATGTGTGTTATAAGTTCGCTAAATCGTTTATCGAGTTCCGAGGTCCGCGTTGATTGTGACGTTGCTGGGGAAGATTAATGGGGGACTCGAATCCTAATTGGATACGCTGTACTGTAAACATCACAGGGTAGCTGCAATATTTAATGACTAGTTAAACTGGGGATATTCGGCTTAATAAGCTCTGACGTCTATTTTAGGTAATTTGTACAAACAGAGTACACTGATGGCCTAATTTTAGTCCTTTTCCCGGGGGGATGGGGATTTCGAGGAGGGAACGAACACATAGTAAAGGGAAATATTCTCTTTCTGTGTGTGTACCCCTCCATCGATTAAAAGGTAAGCAACGCCCAGCAATTGCAGATGTCTATGCGCAGTGGTTTCTGCGTTATTTAAGCGAATTAGATGATCACTGGCTCGTTTGCCGCTTTATATTAGTAAATTAAGAAAAAATCTGCTAATATTTTATTTTTATATTAAGATAAAAGAAAGTCATGTTAGTTACACTATTTATAACTCAACTGGATGGGCGGGCTACTACTAATTAAGTTTTTTTATATATCCACGCGGACGGAGTTGTGGGCGACAGCTAGTATAACATAAACTAAGTTAACTTAATAATACATTAAAAGCATAGGACAAATGATATAGTGTATTTCAGCAATTCTTTTGATATCCCTTGGGCATAAATGGATTACTGCGCATGGCTTGGGTCAGGGCGAACGTGACGTGCATAGAATAAATCAGAAGTCCTACATTACCTGATGCTAGTTGGCACATCGTTCCGAAAAGTACTAGAGTATCTGACGTGCCAACTCAAATATCTGGTTTCTATACAATATTTGTACCTTATACAATTTCAGTTACTTCAAAATGTACACATTCTGTTAGAACCGAATGCAATATAGAATTTACTTTAACAAGTCTGTACATTTTTAAAGAGTCGCAGCAAGAGCTTTGCGGACGATATTTGACCTGTCATCGCCATTCTGCAATTTTCCTTACGGAGGGTCGCCAAAGTATGCCGTTTCATACATTTCTGTCTATGTATCCTTTCGGTATTCGGAAATGTAATAAAACCATAAAATCTTACTAATATTATAAATGCGAATGTTTAGACGAAAGCTATTATAGTACAATAAATTAGTCTGTTTATAAAGGCAAGGCTTTGCGTAGTTTTTTTTTATAATTGTATAAAATGTAATACATACCACGAGTGCGTGTCGCACCCGTCTTTCCGCCGCAGCGTATGGCTCCCTATTATGCTGCAGGTGGCGACCTGGAAACAAAAAACAATACATTCGTTTCCCAATTACGGTTACAACTTATAAACTAAGCAATCAAGACTGAAGTTTTTAGAGAATAACATTTTTAAGATTCAAGTAAGATGTAAAACGGAGTTGAACTTTCACTTATAATTACTTCGTCTTAGAGTAAAGAGGCTTCAATTTAGTAAACTCTTCAATGTAGAGCTCATTTATGTAAATTACACATTTCTTTAATTAAAAAGTTAAATCAAACATATTAACTATGTAATTTTCGACTTGTATCGGTCAAAACAATTATAGCAGTTCTTAACACGGATACAGGCGAGGTTGAATTCCAACGCAACATTTCCCCGAAAGCTATTTCTGACGTTGGCTTGAATAATGATCTGGTAACGATTAATGAGAAAATAGGGAATGTAAGGGGCAGGCGTGTACTGAGAACGTAAGCTAGTAGCAAACCGTCCACACCAACATTTGTACAGTCACCTGCATTAATATGTAAACACTTTAGAACCCTTAAAGGACTTCGGTTTCAAAAATACGTATGTCCTTATTCGTCATTAGCATGTTTTTATACACATAAAATGGTGACAGATTTTTAATTTGACTTTTAAAGAAAATATGGGTTGCAAAAGTCCTACTCATTCTATGGCAAGATAGTGTAATTTAAAAAAAAACCCCTTGAACTCCAAGTATAGTTTCGTAGAATAATAAAATGAAAGCTACAATATACCATCGAAATTCGTTATTTTGTAGAAATGTATTTTCTTTGAATTCTGATTCGGCATTAACTTTCGTACCATCAATTTCATTGCTTACGTCTTTACAAAGTTTGTGGAAGTTGTATCGACTTATAAAAGCCTCTTTCTATAGAATAATTAATCAAACGCAACAAACTCCGTTGAACTTTTCAACCGAACGCGACACAACGCAAAGAGTAAAGGATAGATAGAAGACATGTCGTAAAGTCTTAACAATAGATATGTCGTGCTAAGTTTCTTTTATAGTTACAAATATAAAATATCATTTTAAGTGTAGGAAGATAAATACATTTAAAAATAAAACTATACTTAAACATATACATTAAAAAATTTATAATTTAAATCAATTTTTCAAAACTTAAACCAACATTTATATCATATTTGGTAACTAATTTATAATTCCAAGTTCCAAGTAAACTAATTTAAGGTCAAAATCAAAATATCAATCGAGATATAAAAAAAAATCTGCTAAACTTAAATATTATAAGATGACAAACGAGCAGACGGTTCTATGAATTCGCCAAAATAGCGAAGCCACTGTTGCCCATAGACATATGCAAGGATTGCTTACATTTAATGAACAAAGAAGGAACACACAGAAAAATGATATTTCCCCTTCACTCACTCCTTCAAGGGTGGGAATAGACTAATATTAGGCCTCTAGCACGCCTAGAAAAAACAGAATAATACTGCATAGAAGCACAATAAACTGGCAAGGTACAAGCAAACTGTACAGTAATGGGTTTACGTTCGCCTAATGCCCTTAATCCGATAGCAACTACAGTTTACATGTTAGATAATAGTCCTCCGAATTTCGACTGGGAACAAAGGTTTACGTATTCTGCCTAACAAAAGTGACCCTTATCTAAATTGCCTAAAGTGACTACATTGTTTTTGTTCAGTAACGTTAGCCTATCTTTTTGTATTTGATAATATAGTGGTCGTTTAGAATTCAAAATTATTATACTTGTTATTTAAACCGTTCAATATTCCTTCTGTATTAAGGACCAAAATGTTTTTGTTCTGTATCACAAATCACACGTAGCTTAGGTTTTAGCTGTTACGAAGTCTTTGGAATATTAATTTAAAACTATTTATCAGAATTTGTTTGAGATACTAAAAAATTAGCAAACTCAACTAAGCCGAGAAGAATTAACATTTTAACCAAATTTAATTAAACAATAACAGCCAAGTAACCAGTTATAAAATCATTAACGTTTTACCACCGTCCTCGGTAGCCTGTCCAAACATCAAACGAACACCGAACGAGGCAATAACTCAATACAGCCGAAATAAAGCACACAAAAGAAGGGGCGAGGCAAGTACAAATAATCAATTAGGGACGACGTCTTTGGTAGAACAAACATTTGCCAACTGCGACAACAGGCCTTGAGATGCTGCGACCATTTTATAAAATCAAAAATAATACCTTATTATTTTACTTCACGTAAAATCATTAATTGGGAACAATGGCCAAGTTATGTAGGAAACATAGCCAATTAATCAGCAATCTTACTTAGTCTACCATACACGTATAACTTCAAGTAGTTAGCGTTTGTAAATCAGCACTTGAATTTCGCCATACACGGACCGTTTTGCAGTCGTCAATAAAAATTCTGCCAACTGACAGTTTAAAGATATCGACTTGATGGAGTCCGTAAATTTCTGGCCATAGGTCTTAATAATATCTAACTTTATAAAGTAACATACATTTGATAGATAAGTTAATACATTACCTTGCAATTAAAGTAATTCTTAACAACATAATATTAGCTCGTCACTACAAATCACATAAAATCTTCTCCATGTCTACAACTTCCTAGATCCACAGATAACATGAGTACTAATATTAGACGTGATTGTTGTATCTTTCTTCAACATAAAGATAAAAAAAAACACTTAATATTTTAAGATATGTAAATGTTTAAAGACTCTGTACATGTTACTTTCATTGTCACAGCAACAATCTGGTAAGTATTTACTAAGTATTACCTTATCAAATGTTATCAGTGAAAATGTTACTACCTACTAACCTACTGCAACTTCGAGACGCCTGCGAATATTCCATATACCAGGCTTAGTGTCGTCGTCCAGTTACATGAACCACACGGTACCAGGTCACTCGACCTCAAACCATCTAACTTAGTGTAGGCTCCGAGCCCCAAAGTTGGGACGTCATGTGAGCTGATAATGATTTTTATAGGGGAAGGGGGCGAACGAGCAACGAATCGCCTAACATTATTTAATCCGACGCCCATGGACATCCACAATGCCAGAGGAACCGCAGATGCGTTGCCGGCCTTTAAGGAAGGTGTACCGCTCTTTTCTTGATATTTAAGTCCTTGAAGAAGAAAGGTAAGCACAGATATATCCAATCTTTATCTTAATTTAAAGTATAGGTCTTCATCAGATATATGCACTAATGAGTTTCCACCGCCCAATCATTCACATAAAACCTGTTTTTATCAATTTCTTTAGTGTTAGGGATAATTTGAAGTAAAATACTTTTCCACCAATTTTTCAATTAATATTCTCTTGCATTTATAGACTGAAGTCATCAGTGTTTCAATTCTAATCACATGTTTAGTTTTTCCTGACAAAAGTATTTTCAGTAAGAATGTAATCTTCATTTAAAATTAATACTACCGTATTTGGCATGACTTTGAAATCTTATCAAAGACATATACCTTATCATATAAAAATCACATTAAACATGATTAAATATTTGTACAACACAAGCTTCCTAGATCAAATTAAATGATAAAAACAAAATGGGGACGGGTGCACCAGCACTAGTGTTGTGCGTGACAATTATCAAATTACGGTATTTGTTCCGCAGTCTTAATGATAAAAAAAATCACTGTTGGAATAGATAAAAATGCAATTATATAATATGAATTTATATTTATTAAAGACATTATAATATACAGCAATTTACACAAGTGAATTACATCCTTATGCCAACAATGTTAAGGTGAGTATAGACTAGAGCTATTCCTCAAGCGTTTCTATGGAATGTAACATTCTTATAAATGGTATACTGCTAAGCAAATTTTCCAATGCAAGTTAGGTTCGAGAAAGGGCGATACACTAGAACATATCATAGTTCGCTGTTGTGTTACAAGTAAATGCTATGCTCTAGTCTATACTCACCTCAATAGAGATGTGCATGTAACATTCCCCGTACTAGATATTTATTGATTTGGTATAAAAAATCAACTAGAAACTAGGAAGTGAATCAGCGCGTCCGATTCTATACTATGTGGTATTGTGATGACTTCACCACTGTTGCGACATGCGAGTTTATTCACTGATTTAAAAATACTTCAACGTTACTCGTTGCGTACCCGATGTAATACAAACGAGTATTGTTTTACAAATAGTGGATTAGATAGGGCTGCCAAAAAATAACGATCAGTGACCAATTGTGTAACCTGAACTCTTGATATCTTGGAGTACGATATAAAAAGCTCATTCACCATTAGTTCTCAGCGGACGACGAAAAAAAAAACAAAATCCAATGACTTTCACAAACGCTCATCGACGCGTACTCCATAGCTCAAAATCGTACCATTCAAAAACCAAAATTTTGGATGAAAGTTAAATAGGTGCCAGCCCTTGTTCGTGTATAAGAACATTTTAGTCTCCAATTAATATACGACTGCTTTTAATATTATGGATGTGTTTAGTGGCATTAAATCGCAATCTTCATCAAACTCAAAAAGTATTGGACCAATTTTAAAAATTCTTTCACCAACGCTCCACATTATTCCAATGTAGCATAAAATAGCTATATTTAATACTGGCTATTGCCCGCGACTCCGTCCGCACGGATAAAAAACAACTAAATTAGTAGCCTATGTTTTCTTTTTTACATATTAACTGAACATGATATCTTAAATAAGAAATATGTGCGCAAAAATACGTACATATTCATAGAATCAGTTTCTAAGCTTTTATATCAAACAATAGGCGGTATTAGATTACTGGCTGACCTTCTCGGCATAGCGAGATAGGATCGATCCTGTGGCAATGTTGGATGACTCACGTTTTCAGAATACGCCTCTCTTGGCTCGGTATATAATTATTACGCGTCTAGACTCGCGGCGACGACCGGGCGCCGTCTATGGCAATATAATGCTGCATTGACATTTCTACTCTATCAATAATATAGGGATGAAACTAGGCCATTATACTTCATCTCAAAAATTCTACCTTTACTTAGACTATGCATTACGTAACTTAGTATA